AGGTATTCATGCATAGCTAAATCAAAGTTTTACAATTTATAAAGATAATTGTTATTAAACATAGATCATTTGAATTAAGTATATGTTTATATAGTATAAATTTACAGTTGTAATTATTGGTCAAATTCAAATTGACTACCTGTTGATAAATCAAATTAAACAATCTTTTGGTTTATCATATCGGGTAATAGATATGTGCTTTGAATGAAAGAATTATGCCTGGATTGTGATAAAATTTATTTATTTTTCACTAAAAAACAAACAAAACAAAAACACAGACAGTGATGTATTGATTTTATTGGTAGGTTATGAAATGTGTGAAAACAAAAAAACTCCTCTGCCAAACCGTGGACAAGCTGCAGCCAGGAGGCCAATATAGTTGGTACTGAGAAAGTAGTAACACCAGAAATCTATTAGTTAAAACACCATTTTAAACAGCATGATTGAATTCTACAACCCAGTCAATAAAGTTTGAGATTCAACTGCAAGTCCTTATAACATAAAGCGACCCTGTGGCTTGAACTCTCAAATTAAACTATAAGTGAGCAAAACATTTCACTCGGTTGTGCTGTAACAAGGCATGTACACACAACATACAGACTTGGGCTTGGCTTTCCATTATAGACATTGTATTAAGGTAGCGAGACTATTATTTGTGTTGAAAAATTAAGATTTTCACATTTATTTATTTATTGATAAAATGCACTATAAACTTTCATATGATAAAGTCAACATAACATAGAATGTCATGTAAGTTGGTTAAAATATATATTTTCTGAAGGGAAGCAAGGCAGCAGAATTTATGTTTTTCAAAATAAAAGGTCTTTAACAAAAAATAACGTATACTTATTGTCGTCGGATTAACACCAAATTTTCACAGCTTTAAGGTGACAATGAGAGGAACTTGAATGTGTCCAGACAAACTATTTCATCGATTATTTACCAACGAGTTGTGATTTCAGTTTGGGGTAATGTGACTAAAAGAGTAATTGAAATTCAGCACACTATTTTTTAAAACGCGTTGCTTGAATAAAACTGACCAGACACATTCAATTTACCAGACTATTGAACAACTAGGAAAAGTGAAAAAAATACTTCTTATC